GGTATGCTTGTGACATTTTACGTATAATTAGTAAAGTACGGTGAACATTTCTTTTAGATTATGGAAAAACAGTACTGCTACAGCTTTCTGTTAACCAAGTAACTTTTGTTTGAGGAACCATATTTGTTTATCATCATTCTTAATTGCAGGGCAACTCAGGTTAGTCAGACATGCCAACGTATAATTACGTATCTGTGTCAGTACATTGTAGAGAGCAGCAGAATATGTGAAATGAATATACCTTCAGCTGTGGAGGTTGTTTTGCTTCGTTTGATCTGCTCGTTCCTTTCTGTTGGAGGTGGCACAATATTGGATAAAGACCTTTTAATTGAAGTAGCTCCTTTACTAATTAACATTGCGCGTAAGTTTTATTTAGGGCTCGTTATGATATGTCAAGTCTGGTCTAAATTGTTGCTCTCGGTTTACTTCATAATTTCTCAGATTTTTTTAAGGAAAAAATATTACACTTGGAGAAGGAGTTCTTTGGAAAAGTTTTTTTGAAACTTTGGTATTTTTCCCTGCCCTTCCTAATAACACAATGGCTCTTCTTTTGGACTACCTAGAAGCTCATTCTGACTCTTCTGAAGCGGCCTCTGTGGTAAGTATCCGATTTATCCGAGTTTCATATTTAGATGCTCTTTAAAATGTTTTTTTATAGGTTTTCGATTTTTGCAAGGGAATCAGGAGTTCTGACGACGGGTGGTACAGTAAAGAAGACTTAGACAGAGCGAAAGTTCTTTGTAAATCAAAAAGTTTTAGTTTTGGAGATTTTTTATGTAAATTAAGATAAAGTCAACATATTGATAACAATACAAATTTTTTGTAAGCAGCTATATTCCTTTGGTTGGAGATGCTTCACCAATTGCAAATCATCAAGGTTAAGTTTCTCTTCAGTGCTCTGACGTTCTCTACTGTTTTAGTGACGTTTTTTCAAGGTCCTCTTTAAATATGGCATTACCTAGCGGGTTGTTTTTGTAATTTACTATCCTCTTTCACTGATAGAAGATGAATTAAGACTCCTCAGTTGAAAACAGCCTTTGATTTGGGATGTTCTGCGTTAGGAGGCAGTTGCAGTGGTCTCCATGACATGTATTACAACTTTCAGAGATCCATTTGATCAACAAAAGTCTTTCAACTTTATCAGAGTGCTTGTGAAAGTTTTGTTAACGGTTGTGGGCATGAATAATTTTTTGCTGAGAGCGGTAATGTAGTGTGGAAATGATTTTTTAGTAGCCGATTTATCAACATTAAGAACTTTTTATATATGAAAACATTTTTTTCGCAACCGTTGCCCTAAACGAGAGGCTGGTTTTTTGGAACACAACGAGTGTTTTAATGTGGGTCGAATTTTATCGTACTATTTAATCTGCTGAACATTGCAAGCCACTCTTGTTAGTCGTTTATTGCCCCAAGCTTTCCATTTTTGCATCATTTCAACTGTCATTTTTTCAATTTTATTAAAATGTTGCATCCTCAGTGATGTTAGGTTGGTTCAGGGCAAACTTGAAGTTAAAAAGAGTTGACGAAGAGCACAGGAGAGAATGATTAGTTTCAAAATGTGTACGGAATGGCTTGAACCTGGAGACTTTCAAGCGGTTAAATTGAAGGCTTCTGTTGGGCTAGACTTCGACTTGCATTGTAAAAAAATGTGACTTCGAGGAAGAAGTATTCTAATCACAAGTAACAGCTAAAGTGAAAGCGGAAATATTTGAGACTGAAGGGGCAAGAAATCCATGATTTTTCAGTTTTAATTTGTGTCACTTCTGTTCTGGTGCACGTAGTTTTTCAAAATATCCGTGCGCGGGAAGTATGCATCTGCTGCACCTTTACGGGTTTGAATTATCTTAAATATAATGCTGCAGATCTTAATTTTTATGTTGAACAACTTGACAGGGTTGAAAAGTACTGGCTTTATCTGTGAGTGTACGTTAATGAAATCTTTGGATTAGTGCCATTGGTCGTACAGCGGAAAGCCAGAGATGTATGTTGAAATGGTTCGGAAAGCAGGAATCTAGATAAAGGACTTGTAGTGTATGATACGAATAATCAGTTTAACTAAGTGCGAAAAGGAACTACGAAATTTTCTGAGACTCGTTAAAAAAAATAGTTTCTTCGCAGATGTTAATTATGCGCGGATTTTCACTTGTTTGCGACACTTACAACATGAAAAGTTATCTCTTGGTCATCTGTCAAGATCGTTAGATAATGGACTTGATTTTCTCCACCATTCTTCCGATTTTAGCTATCTAATCCTATAAAAATGCCGACGAAATCACTTAGTAAACTTTTCATTTTTTCTTCCTTATTCTGTGTAGTTTAATATAACCAACCAAAAATATTCCGCTCAGTCAGACATATTCAAAAAACCTTATATTTTAGGGGTACTTATTCTGTTTATTTCCGCAAACAACTTTTAAAGCAGTTTGGTCTTAAGTTTATTTCAGAGACCAGTCAAGGTACAGTTTTTGCAATTTTATACAATAGTTCTAATGAAAAAAACAAAGCAAATTCTTGCCGATGAAACAAGTAAAAACAGTCAATGAATATTTCAGCAATGCTTCACTTCTTGATGGGAGCGATGTTTTTTTTTGTCGGAGTTACGTTAGCGCAAGTTGAACGAGAAAAACCGCTGGAAGCTTTCAAATGGTCAAGATGGGGTTAGTGCTAAAAAAATACCTCTATTGACATACTTTTCAGAGCAATAAAAACTTGTAGGTAGCAGCGGTGAATTTCGTACTAATTAAAATTCCTGAAAAATTGCATTTCTTTTTTTTTGCAACTTTTGATCACTGCTTCTTTTATAAGCGAAATTACTTTTTGACAGCATATGATTCCAAGTTGAAAAACGAAAGTTTATGCAGAGGTTGCGGATAAGTTAATGTGGTTTATAAACACCGTAGTAAAGCTTGCAGAAGAACGAACAATCGACTGCACCTCACCGGATCTTTTGCCAGACCAGTGTAAACTGGTTGCCAAGGGTGCAAAAATTTTCCGAGATCCAGCGAAATATCAGTGCAGACACGAGCCGATGCCGAAACGCGAATGGAACCATTTGGCGAATAATTCAACGTATCGTGTCGCTTGCCCCATCGGATGTGAACCAAACGCTGACTTGTCGGTAACCGCATTTCACTTTTAAGCACTATAGAACACGACCTCCAACAAGGGGGCTTTTCTGGATGCGTGGCACCATATAGAATTCATCTCTGAAGATGGTCAATGACCTTCAAATTATTTAGTTCAAAAATGAAAAACCTTTCAACTTTTCAACATCTTTGTGGGACGATCGATGGACCAGCCTTCGTGACCTGCTCTTTCGATTTTGGAGGAAACCGTATCAATCTTCTAAGATCCATTGCTAATATCGGGAACTACTCATTTGGAGTCGGATTGTCTTCTTTAAGTTTCAGAGCTCTGCCGTCTTAAAAAACCTTTTTTATAGTAAAATTGAGAGGACTATCATTTCTTCTAAATCAGACCACTAAGACTTCCAAGCGTTAATGGGATTTGTTCACAGAACTCCATTGCGTACAGCAACCTCCCCTTAAAAACCGGTTCCAAGGGACTAACAGTGAAGTACTAAAAATTTGAATTTGTTCCTTTTCTTTAGAACAAAAATTAGCTCCACTCACACTAGTGGCAAAAGCTCTGACGACCAAATAATCCACCAGTAAGCCAGAGCAATTGTCCTACTGGGACAATAATCCTTAAGTTGGTCATTGTAGTATCATTCAAGAACTGTTTGGTAGGGGATGCAAAAAACTGCACCATCTCAAATGTCTTAATTCCTGTTGAAACCATTTACATGAGCTAGAAATCCATGGTAAACATTCATTTGTATTAACTATCTTCGCAAAATGTTTAAGTGAAACGGCAACATCAAATTTGTCTTGTTTTAAGTTGTCTCAAATTGTCTTTTAAACTTCCTAGTTTCTGAAGCATAACTGGTACCGTGCAAGAGGAATATGTCGAAGCTCGTAGTCTGGGGATCTAAAAACTTTAGAAGCAGAATCGAAGGTATTCCATCCAAAATGAGCACCACTAAAAGGAATTTTTTTTTGCGCCTTTTCGCGTGCACTCAAAACCCAACTCTTACGAACCGTTGACTACCACCAAACCTAAAACCTTTATTATAGTTTTCTTCTAAACCAACACAGCTTTCCAGCCGTTGTATCCATGAAACTGACAGCTATGAAATTCAACAACCAATATAGCTTTTTAAATTAAGCGAAACCAATTACTAAAAAAACATCATGCTTTTGGCACTTCCTACGAAATTTTACGCGTAACCGACCAGACGAGGAATCAAACCGTGCTGAAAATTCAGTTCGGTGGTAATTCAAAGCACTTCTTACCCCTCTGTTCTGTTGGAAAACTGAACTAAGTTTTCAAAAAACTTAAACGTTCAACGCAAACTCACTCCAGCTTTGGCAAAAAATTACATTAAATAACCACTAGTTGCTGTGAATTACGTAAAACCCATGTTATTTGGACCAACTTTAATATTTCAACATCAGTAAAAGTTAGAAACAATTAAAAATCCTGCATTATTCTTATTCATTTCTTTCCAGGTTCTTGTGAAAACACCACGCAACAATCCTTTATGTCAAAAATACTATACTTACGGGAAGTACAGGGACGAAAATGAAAATGAGTGGTACTTGTGGTTCACAGCTCCATGTAAAACAAACGTCACCACTTGGTGCCGATTCCAAGACCGATATGACGCTTTTGAAAGAAAAAGGGAGTAGCCTCCGCTCATCAGAAGAAAGGAATGTTTTTTTCCTTTCAGGCCAAATACTTTTCAGATTTATTGTTTATCGACGGAAAGTAATAAACCTCTTAAAATAATAAAATTCAGCTGAAAAATCCGGCCAGCACCGATGTGGTTCACACAAAAGTAAGAATATCTTTGTTAAATGTGATGCGAAAAAAATATAACAAGCATAAAACAGGAAACCCGAAAATGCATCAGTAAGAAGACCAACTAATTGAAGTTTCATTCTTAACAACCAGCTTCTAAACCTTAACTAGTAGTCTTCACTTGGAAAGACACAGTTTCTCGTCCTTTGTGGAAAGGTATAGCACTCCAAAACTTTCGCTTAGTTCTTTGACTTTCCCATATACAAAAGAGTGCATAAGCTGGCTAAGTCTTCACAAAAAAGTGATGCGCAACTGTAAACAAGGAATACAGCAGTTTTCCCATCAAAGAGATTTCTTACAAAACTAGAAATATTATGCATTAAACCCCTTATGGAACTAAAACTTTTTACTCCTTCGAGCAGCACGTGCGTCCCTCTCATTCACGAACTGTCTGAAATCAGCTCTGGTAAGAAAGTCCAGTTTATCAATATAACCGTCCTTGCCGCGATTGTGCATACTCAATTCGTCCTAAAAAGTATGCCACCAGAGGAATGTTTGGCAATTAAACAACTCTATAACTACCTCAATCCCCTCTGCACTTTTGAATTCCGTCCAGTCTTTATGAGACTTTTCAAGCACACTTGTTCGTGACTTCTTCGAGGCTAGACTTAGAGCACTGTTGAGGCCAACGGCAGATCGCCTGTAAATAAATGTGAAGCTGCTTAGAATAAGGTAACAGAAGTCATTAAGATGATCCTGACAAACAATGTAGTGAATCAAACATCAAAAAAAACCTCTAGCCTAAACAATATATACAAATGTACTTTGAACTCTGCGAGTGCACTGAATTTATCTTTTTGACCTGATCTTCACCACGGCTCGCTGCCCTCCCATTCTTGCCACTGAAATCCAAAAAACAAATTTAAGTTGACCACAAAATTTTCAAAAGTAGTCAGTCAGAACAGTACCATTCTTCAACCTTATCATCGCCAAACACATCAACTTCCGTCCTGTTGGGTAATCCTGCCAAACTGTTTCCAGCATCCTTTGTCGGCTGGGTTTCTTCTGTTGATCGTCTGGAACTAAATGAAAAAAGTTAATGCCCAGCAGAGGAATGAATTTAAAAAACTTAAGAACCCTTAAATCTTACCCAGTGTCCTCATGGATGGGAGGCACTTTTACAGATGTTGTGGGTTCATCAGTGTCTGCTAAAAAGGCATCAAAGAGAGCATCAGCTCTTTTTTTCCTTGCTTCTTCATCCTCTTCCCCTCTTGTAGAAAATTCTATGCCATTAGCAAAGCTACCGCTGTAGAATAGATGTATCACGTAACAGATTTCAAAAACACTTGTAAAGAAGTCATATTATTTCCAAAATATTAGCGAAGGTAAAAACACGAGACTGAGACAGTTAAAAAGACGAGAAGACCTTATTAAAAAACTGCGAATAACTTCCACATAATTGGAAATAGAGTAAAAACCTCTTATTTTTGGAACTTTTGCAAACAGAAGGCTCCTTCTGAACTTCGTTATCCTCCTCGTCATCTTCTTCCTCATCACTCAACGCTTCTTTTGGAAGAAAATAATCTTCGTCGTCTGATGATGAAGGCGCTTCTTCGTCAACAAGCGTGCGATTGCTCATCTACTATTTAGAAACGTTAATTGATGCTCTTGTGTGCAGTAAAAATAATTGCTTATAAGAAATTAAAAACCATAAACCGCTAACTTGACGGCAGCAAACAATGGAGACCCACTAGTACTGCAAATCAAAATACTATAAAATACCGGAGGTCTTTACTATGAATATATCTGATCATCAACTTTGAATGTTTGTTTTAAAAAACTTTAAAACAACGTAGCTCAGTAAAAAATGAATCAAGAAGGGCCTAAAAAATTCCTTTAATGCTTCAACAGCATTTGCACTGCTCACAGTAAATTATTTATAGAGAACTCTCAGCTGTTTACCGTACTTTAAATCCTGTAATAGCAGTTCCTCAGACTCTAAAATGCTCTATACTGAGAAGTCATATTAAAAAGAAGAACAAGTGAAGAGCACGTGACAGCTCAGATCATGATCCAATAAAGTGGGCGTCTTTTTTCACCCATACATTTCAATAATTTCTGACTATAAACTTCTACCTTCATGAAATCATCACAGAACAACAACCTACAGCTAGAGAAAAAAAATTTCAAAATGAATAAAAAAATTAAATGTATATGAAACGGCGATTACCAACGAGTCATTTGCTTTTTAAAACTTAAATGAAAATCTCGCAACCTAAGAAAAAGTAAAAAACAGCAAACGAGAACCGTGAGTATCGCCACAAACAAATAACCATTTATTTTTCGCATAAACACCAATTAATCTCAACAGTTAAAAAAATTGCGCCAATTCCGCCCAAAAAATGACACCATTCTAACACTACAACAACAAAAAATCTTCAAAACAGATACATATTTAAATCTTGCATTCGGAAATCGTCATTTTAGTCTACCATATGCCAACGAGACACTTGGAAAACCCTCTAGAAAAAACGCCAAGCTCCATATGAACAAAAACACTATACTTGCAGAGCAACTCGTATTTCCCCAAAAACACTTCCTGCGGTTGCAGCAAATTAGAAGAAAAAAAAAAGATTAGTTACAGAATAAACCAGACGACCGGCAAAGCAACAGAAGAAAGTGCAGAAAATTATTGCTTTTCCTTAAAAATTTTCACTTCCGACGTAATAAAAAAAAAAAAGTATGAAACAACTTTTTTTTTGAAAAAAAATTCTGAAATTTTGCCAAAATTCCAAATTTCATTTTATAGCGGGAAGTTCAAATATTGCCAAACTGAGAAGCTCTACACCATCTGCCGCTGGTTATTGGCCAAATCATTGAAGTCCTAATGAATACTGAAGTTGTATACATGTATATGTATATACGTAAACAACATAATGAAATTTTCCTGTGGCTTCTACAACCTGACGAGGGCTTCAAGAGAATAAATTACAGCCAATGATGCCACGAATTTGGTTGGATGTCATCAGACATGCAAGTAAATTACCTGATTAATCGTAAATAAATTCTTCACTGCAACCACTTATGCAGTCTTTTACGTCAGAACGATGGGGACCGTGCCGTTATTGAAACAGCTAAAGAATGGAGCCAAAAAAAATTAACTATCTATCATCCATCTTTTGCGGTCAGAAGTCAAGCGTTAAAACTTAGCTTTAGTAACTTAAACGGACAAATCGGTCAATAGAATAGGAATTTTCTGGTTTTGATAGACGTCTAAAATTTAGTTGCCGAAAAGATTTTATTGAGAAGATAATTTTTTGATTATCTTATAAAAATTAAGGAACTGAGGCAAATGAAAACAGAAAAAAAAATTTTCTTTGAAACTATAAGAGGAAAAAGTTAGATTTTTTAATTCATATTTTGTTCACAGAAGCTTTTACAAGGCCCTAAAAACCTGAGAAACAAAAAAGAAAAAAATTGACAACCTGAGCACTAGAAGCAGGTCACTTAAAATTTTTATATAAAACAAAGGAAGAAATGTGTTATAAAAAGTGGAATCAAGTTACACTAAGTAAATCGCACGAAATTTCAAAAGAAATATGCCTGAATGTGTTTCTTACCAAATATTTTCCACAAATCAAGCATATGCTTGCGTAAAATACATCGATTTGTCAATAATACCTTTTACTGTTATGAAACATTTAAAAGATGAGGTTTTGCTAAAAGTAACTTAATTATTCGTTACTCCTTAAAACCCCTTTAAATTTACTTTGATTATCAGTTGTTTTCTGGGAACAAATCTAATTAATGACTGATCATGCCAAATGATCTGCAACTGTGGCTCAGTTAAATTGCTGAAAAATTTAGGAACCCGGAAAAAATTTCGGCTATCTCAAATTATTTCTTCTGGATTTTGCTAATTATCGTCACTCCTGTCGCTCCCAGTGTGGTAATATTCATTTTTGCGCAACTCTCCCAGCAGATTTACTCCTTCAGATTTGCTTCATAAAAACAGCAGGTGAACAGTGATGGCGAAAAATTTTAAAAGTTCTAAACGTATTGTTTAATTTAAATTGCATAGCGTTTCTCAGCTTCGCTTTATTTTTGTTATCATTTCGTTTTGACACTTTTATTCTCTTCACAAACGTCTTTTATACAAAGAGTTAACAAAATTAAGATGCTTCAATGAAATTTAGATGAAATTTCTTCTATACGCATGAAAACTACAGGTATTTTGTGTAGTCGTTTGACAAGCGGTATTTCCAAGAATCAAATACACTCCACTGGGAAACATCACTGCCTTCGTTACCACATAAAGCAATTTTATCAGTCTCTGGTCAGTTTGATCGACAATGATTGTTCTGACTTAAACGTAATCATACTATTTGAAAGCAAACCCGTTGGGGTGGTCCTTCTGGTTTTTTTCTCCTTCTAGTAAAAAAAAGACAGACGATGACTAAAAACAAGATTACAATGAAGCCGGATGTATTTTGCTTTGTTTGATTGACTGGTTAGTCGTCTGGATAAAATGTAGGCAATAGGTAAACGAAATTCCTGATCGAAAAGGCATCATTAGCGACTTTAACCTTTTGCTGCTATTCATTGTAAACACACATCTCGTTTTCTGATGTTACTCCTTTTAGAACTTGACAACTGCAGCAACAGCGGTGATTTTGTCAAGTGTTGAATGCCAACAAAAGATGCTAATAACTAGCAGCTTGTTTATAGTTTCTATTAGCAAATAAAGTTTGCCGTCAACGAACAGCACGTCATTGGCTGATTTACTGTAATTTACTTCAATTTTAACTTCACAGTTTTTGTGCCATTTGTATGGCTGATAATTTTTGGATGCTATAATTGTTGTATGGAAATTATGAGAAATAGACCTAATTTTAGTGTAGCATTCCGTTCAGAAATTAGAGATCTTTTTTGTTTTTGTTTTTGTTTTTTTTTTTTTTTCTTTAATGTTTCTTCAAATAACGAATTGCTGTTGATTTGTGACTAACTTCGCATTTGTCATTAGATTTTAAAGTTCCGTTCAGTGAGCGCAACACTTTTAAAAGATCTCTTTTTTTGTCTAACTGAAAGAATAAAGTGTTTTTTTCTCAATTTTTTCAATAAAATATACTTCTCTGAAAATAATAATTAAATTTAAGACGA